GTCCAGTATAATATCATATATCATCTAGTCCCCCCCACTCTGGTCGAGTAAGCGTAACTAGATCCAAGAGTGAAATGCCTCTTCGAGCTGTTTTCTTCAACTTGCCACTAATATCGAGTATCGAAAGTCGAATGACCATTGAATAACCACTGAAATATCCTCCAAATGAGCTTTGAGATCTCAAGATCGAAAACCGAAAGACCACGGAGGTCGGAAACCGAATGATCTGACGTCGGGGTCGAAAACAGAAAGATTTGTCAACAAGGACAAGAACCTAATGACTTACCACTGCAGTCGAACACCAGAAGTCGAACGTCAACTGAGGTCGAAAACTAAATCGAGACTGCTGAGGTCGAAAACTGAGAATCGAGACCTCTGAGGTCGAAAACCGAGAGTTGAGAGACCGTTGAGGTCGAAAATCGAGAGTCGAGATCGCTGAGGTCGGAAATCGAGAATCGAGACCGCTGAGGTCGAAAACCGAGAGTCGAGGGACCGTTGAGGTCAAAAACCGAGAATCGAGACTGCTGAGGTCGAAAATCGAGAATCGAGACCGCTGAGGTTGAAAATTGAGAATTGAGACCGCTGAGGTCGAAAACCGAGAATTGAGACCGCTGAGGTCGAAAACCGAGAATCGAGGGACCGTTGAGGTCGAAAACTGAGAATCCAGACCGCTGAGGTCGAAAATCGAGAATCGAGACCGCTGAGGTCGAAAATCGAGAGTCGAGGGACCGTTGAGGTCGAAAACTGAGAATCCAGACCGTTGAGGTCGAAAATCGAGAATCGAGAGACCGTTGAGATCGAAAACCAAGAACCGAGACTACTGAGGTCGAAAACCGAGAGTTGAGAGACCGTTGAGGTCGAAAACCGAGAGTTGAGAGACCGCTGAGGTCGAAGACCGAGAGTCGAGAGACCGTTGAGGTCGAAAATTGAGAGTCGAGACCGCTGAGGTCGAAAACCGAGAATCGAGACCGTTGAGGTCGAAAGCCGAGAACCGAGAGACCGTTGAGGTCGAAAATCGAGAGTCGAGACTGCTGAGGTCGAAAAATAAGAATCGAGGCCGTTGAGATCGAAAATCGAGAATCGAGACCGCTGAGGTCGAAAACCGAGAATCGAGACCGCTGAGGTCGAAAATCGAGAGTCGAGGGACCGTTGAGGTCGAAAACCGAGAATCGAGACCGCTGAGGTCGAAAATCGAGAATCGAGACCGCTGAGGTCGAAAGCCGAGAGTCGAGGGACCGTTGAGGTTGAAAACCGAGAATCCAGACCGCTAAGGTCGAAAATCGAGAATCGAGAGACCGTTGAGGTCAAAAACTAAGAACCGAGACTGTTGAGGTCGAAAACCGAGATTCGAGAGACCGTTGAGGTCGAAAACTGAGAGTCGAGAGACCGCTGAGGTCGAAGACCGAGAGTCGAGAGACCGTTGAGGTCGAAAACCGAGAGTCGAGACCGCTGAGGTCGAAAGCCGAGAACCGAGAGACCGTTGAGGTCGAAAACCGAGAGTCGAGACCGCTGAGGTCGAAAAACAAGAACTGAATGACCACTCCCTAAAAACTTGAATTTGAAAATTTGAACTTATGCCTGTTGTGTTTCGATCATCCTGTTCGAGCTCTCTTAGACCACCACTTTCTATCGCCCCTCAGTTCACAATTTAAAATTTAAGTCTGTTGTATATCCTCTCAAAACCCAAACGACCTAATTTCATGAATTGCTCTGAATGAACTCCCTCGACCCGCAACTGAGGTCGAAAAATAATTTCGGCAAGACCAAATCAATCAAAAACCATCAACTTGCTCGTGCTTGTAATGAATCCCATCTATCTGCCTTTGAAGTCAAAAAATCAATTCGATAAAAACCAAGAT